TACTTGCCAAATAGAAACCTTCTGTGATAGAAATATTTATGCAAGAAGTTGAAATATTTTACAATTAACTTGTGATTATTTTTCAATAAAATTTTGATGTTTGTTTTCCCAGTATTAGCTAAATATTTTTTATTCTAATGCAATTTATTTTACATAGGATTTGTTTAAGAAAAACATGACATTTCAAAAGTTGAAACACACGAGGTGTAATTATATCTCAAATTTATGTGGCTCTTCTGTTTGTACAGTGAAAGCCATTTCCCTCATGCTGTCCAACCCTGAAGCACAAACAAAGATAAAAATACTGCCAAATGCTAGCCAAGATTCTCATCTCAAACACATTCTTTTAGGGACAATTTTTCATTCTTTCTATGCCAAATAAAAAAGGCTTGGGGAAAAAAGAGGCAGAAGGCAAAACTAAAAAGAGATGAGCTTTTGGAGGAAGGAGAACCATCTTTGTCAAAGACAAAGGAGCCAGTAGAAAAAAAGTCTCAGAGGATCTTTGATCTTGGGCCCTCCTCCGTCTGCCACTCCTCAACCCTATGTGATTTATTACTTTTAGGCAACTTGGAGATCTGTGGTCCTGCCCTCCCTGAACAGTTAGTACCAAGTTGACCAGAGAAAAAAACTTTCTTAACCTTGGCCAAGGTGGAACAAAAGTTGACCAATGAGTAATTTGCCTATAAGGCAGTGCTAATCTCACTAGTGTTCTGTTCTCATCTGTCCTTTTATGATACTAACTACTATAGCTTTTTTTCTTGAAACATGACAATCAAAAGTATATTTTTTAAAAAAGCAAAAATTCATCCTTGGATTGAAGAAAACATGTAAAAACAATAAAGACAATTTCAAGAGAGGCCTGTAGGCCATTTAACTGTAGTTAAATATTTGAATGGTTATGTTACTAACATATTGGTTCCATCTGCTGTGGTCACTATTTTGAAGAAGGGATGATTGAAATAAGTTAAAAAATATCAAACCAACTCAGTTATACTTCTTATCTTCAAAGATTTGTATCTTGATAGTATTAATTCAACATTATCACCTACCATTTTGAATCTGAATGTAACACTTTGCAAACAACATAGTTGATTTGAAAGGTGTTAACAAAACATAGATTTTCATGAGACACTTCTTATTCCAAAAAAAGTGAAACAAATGATCAGGGAGAGTGTGATAATACAGAAACAGGACAGGTTTTTGAGGCAGGCTTGCCCCTGTTCTCATCTATGTGAACTTGGTAAAATTAACATATCATTCCTAAGGTGTAGCCTATTCATGCATAAAATAGAAAATTATGGTCTACTTAGAATAGTTGTAATTAGAAGTAAAAGGCGATAATGGAAAAACAATTTTATGTACTTATTCTTATGTTTTTTTATTATAATAAACAATGAAAGACTTTATGCATTTCTGTAGGCCAGCAGCAAATATTTTTGGGTAAAAAGACTTTGATCCCATTGGTGAAGCATTTTTAACCACTTTGCTTATCTCATTCTTATAGTTTTTAATTGGTATTGGTAATGTCTTGTGTGTATCTTTCTGGCAGAGTAGTACTTTGAAAGCACATTCTGCTTGATGGGTTTATTTTATAAAGTACAGAAGCTGTCTTATTTAGCAACCATATAATTTCTTTTTTAAAAAATTTAAATCATATATCTTGTGGATATTTGAGTGGCAGAATTCAGTCATCCCTAGGTATCTGTAGAGAAATTGGTTCTGGAAGCCTTGTAGGTACCCAAATCCACAGATGTTCAAGTTCCTTACATAAATGACAAAATCGTTTTTGTTTGTTTGTTTTTTGAGACTAGGTCTCGCTATGTAACCCAGGCTGGCCTCAAACTCATGGTGATCCTCGGGCCTCAGCCTCCTGAGTGCTGGGATTACAGGTCTGTGCCACCACACCCAGCTAATGACAAAATATTTGCATATAACTTTTGCACATACTTTACTCCATACTTTAATCA